TTCTAAGTTGGAGAGTGGTTAGAGTGAGAGAGTGGCTACTGGTAAGGACAAGAAGTGAGTTGCTAAAGACTTTTCAAACCCAAATTGTAATCTCTTTCTTTTGTAAATCTATAAAGAGATTACACTTCTTGTCCTATATATTTATATATCATATCATATTACATCATCTTCTGAGGTTCATCAACATTATACATTAAAACTAGAGAAATGGTACAACAATCTTCTTTTCTTCTCTTCTCTATCTCTCACATTAATTTTCTTGCTTTATCTTTTACACCTCTGCATCTTTTGTTATTAGGAGTCTCTATATTATTAGTTTTTTTTTAACTTACCTCATGTTTTTTCTTTCTTTCTCACCTCTCTTCCTGCAACAACAACAAAGTCATAGAAATGATTAACCTAGCAAGATTGTTGATTTGTGTCACCATTACACCATGACACAAATCCATTAATCTACTCCTACCTGTTTATATTCCAACACGACAGGCCGGTCCACCCCTACCGGGTAACATCCCAAAGGCTGGTGACCTATTGAGATTTATAAAAGCAGTGTTAATTAGGTTACCATTTACTTAATATCAAAAACATAAACCGTGATTGCATATTAAAACCTAGGCATTTGGCAGTTGAAAGAGTTGAAGGACTCAGAGAGTGTAGAAGGAGTAGAGTTATCGTCATTATCAGAAGAAGGTGACCACAGATCCGACCCATTATTGTCCACAGAATCAGCAAAAAGAAGCATATGATTAGTGGACGATGCAAATGGACTGTCTGGCAAGCATTCCTCCAACCTGTAACAATCCAAAAACTTTTGCTACTTAACCTCACATACCTTCAAATTCATTAAAAAAAAATTCAATGTTCATGAGTAAACCTACTTCTCTTGTAGATTTATTGTATCATCATCAGATCCTTCTTTGGAACTTCCTTTCCCTAACTCTCCTCCTGTTTTAACCGCCCCTGGGCGTGGAGACACAAGTGTATGGCTAAAAGGATTAGAGGAATGAATATGTGAGGAGGAATTGAGCTGGAAATGATTCTTGACGTCAAGAAGCTGCAGATTCATTAGCCTTCTGCTTTGAAGCTCAAGAATCTCTTCTTCAAACTTACTCCTCCACATAACATCTTGGGCGTTGTTATAGAACCCTCTCCCACCTGCACCACAATCAAATCCCTATTAGCCAAAGGTAAAAGGTTCTTCAACAAAATGATAAAGAGCTTTAGAGTTTGTCTTACCTAAAACATCCCTGGGGCTAGAATCAAGCCCTGTTGGGGACAATTCTAGCTCTGTTGTTTGGTTAGTTCTACACAAAAGGATAAAAGTGCGGTAAATACAAGGAACAATCTTGCCCAAAAACCACTATTAGTAAAGTTAAAGTACCTGTATTTGTCAGGGACTTTGCCTTTCTCCTTGTAAGGCTTAACAAGAACCCTTGAATCACACACAAAGTGAGGGTTCCCTTTGGCTAGAATGCTCTTGACAGTCTCAGGGTACAAGAATGTCACAAACCCAAACATCCTCTTTTGCTGATATGGTATCCTCACATCTTGAACTGGTCCAAAAGTACTAAACCCACCATAACAACATCTTAAGTCACACTTTGACTAAAAGAGAAGGTCTGACTGATTGTGTTTCTGAGTATTACCTGAAATAATTGGACACATCTTCCTCCCTGAACCTACTGTCGGCAGGAAATGTCAGATAGATCTGTCTGGAAGCAGGACAAGCCATAGCAGAGAGATCAATCCTCTCAGGCCTCCATCTTCCAAGCTTCTGCATATCATCTCCCATCATCAAAGCAGCAGCAGCAGCAGCAACTCTGCCCAAATATTCACACAAGTTAGAAAAAAAAAACACTTTGAATATCTCAAAAGAGACAAAAGGTCAAACCTTTGAGCATCACTGTTCTGCAAGTTAACACCTTTAGGAGAGAAAGAAGAGCGAGTCATGAACTGGTGAGCGAGTCTTGGAGGTACCGAGTTAGACCTAAGAAGCTGAGAGCCAACAAGTTCAGCTCCTCCTCCATCACTGTGAACAAATCTACAGCTACTCCCGTTCTTGCAGAAGCCTCTAGCGAAATAAGAACAGGGCACACCTCCAAACCCTAAATCAGAATCACCAAACCCTAAACCGTCAAAACCGCAGCTACCGCTTCTCGCATGCACAGAGCCCAAGTTCACATCATCCATGAACTCGAACTCGTTGGTCATATCCTTAAAAGATCTTCCTCCGTTAGCGTAGAAGGGCAGAGAAGCAGGGTTGAGAGAAGAGCCACGGTTGTTGTTATTCTTAGGGCTTATTAACTCTTCTTGACTCCAGAGAGGCCTTGAACAGGTCATGAGACCTAACTCTTTCTTGGCTTTCACTATCACAGAGTGGACAAGATTCTCCGGACCAAAAGCGAGCCTTATCATCTCTTTCTCACCGTGATCTTGGAGAAGGAGAAGACCCATTATCTTAGATGCGTTTTCTGGGTCTAGAGATTGGATACGAGAGAGTACAATCCTAGTTGCTTCATACCCATCCATGGCTTTGTTTTTTTCTCTCTCTCTTGAGTTAGAGTAGAGAGAAGAAGAAGGAAAGAGAGTGATGCTTTTGTAGAGATAGAGAGAGAGAGAGTGTGTGTTTGTTGTCTTTGTGTACAGAGAGGTTGTTGTCGTTGAGAGGTCTCTCTGGTTTCTTGTGTTGGAGTTTAGTTCCAAAGGTTTTTTTTTTCTTAACTACAATTATAAAAACCTTTCTTTATAATACTACCTACTGTTTCCTGCGAGACAACCAGTAAATAACAAAAAAAAAAAAATCAAACTTTAAAAAAGATAAACAGTAGAAAAAGTTTTTCTTCTCGCGTGCTTATGAGAAGAAGAAACAAAAAAAATTCAACACTTTAAGAAAAATGGTTGGAGAAAAAAAAAGAGGAAAGGTTAAAACTTTATTAGGAAAAAAAATAAAGAAGAAAGGAAGGTTTTTGCATGCTGAGAATCTAACATGGAAACAAAAATGATTTTTTACTGAGGAAGGAAAAAAAAGTAAATCTAATTTTACCTGAAAAAGTCAAAATGATCAACTCATGAGATTCTCTGTGGAGAACATTATCTCTGTACAACAAGAGTGAAAAACTTCTGCAGGTGACTGACGTTTACTGCTCCTTAATACATGAAACAAACATGTGACATCATGTAAGATTCTATCATCAGAACTTACAAAAGTCTAACCTCTCTAGAGAGAGAAGGTGTACGTACCTTATGGTGAGAGAATAGATCTAAGCCATGAGGAAGCTTCTTACGGATTTGGGATCAGGATAAAAACTCTATGGTCTTTTCACGAGTTGAAGAAGAGAAGAAGAAAGAGAGAGATTGTGAACAGTTATAAAGCCGAAAAAAAAAACAAAAGATGGTTGCATTGCACGTTCTCTGACACTAACCCTTTTTTCATTTCAATTAGACACTGAACTTCACGCGCATTACGTTAAGACATATTTCTCACGCGCATTACGTTAAGACATATTTCTCACGCGCATTACGTTAAGACATATTTCTCACGCGCATTACGTTGAGGTGTGTTCTTCACGCGCGGTGGATTGATATGCTGACCAGCTGTAACGCTGGGGTCTCCACTCTCTCCTACTGTCTTTTTCTCATTTTCATCATTATATTTTGTAGGGACACATTTAAGTTAGCTTAATCTTTTGTTAATTAAAGGAAATAAAACCCCCTTTCTAAATTGTTTTATTCTGTTTGTAATTAAATTTTGCAATTAATGAGTAATTAGGAAACATAAAACATGCCATCCATATTGACACTTATCCAGCTAATGTCTGGTAAGACACTTTAATCCTTTGTCAATACGGTTGCAGTACTGCCTAATATCTGATTCAATCATTTTTGGCATGCTTACGTCAGACTGAATGTAAATAAAACATTATCATGATCAGTTTCTCTTGATAAAAGTATGATGGCAAATATAAATTGTAAACATGTGTTGACCAGTTCCATAGGTTTCTCCTTTGAAGCAATGGAAACTAACATATTTTAATTTTGTTGTATGATATGGACTATTTAATACATTGCGCATGTACTTTCCACATATTCAAACTATTATATTATTGTAAACATGAGAGGGTAGGATTAAAGATGAAAAGACATCATTGTTTTAAAATAATGTAGGGTAAAGGAATTAGTATTTTTAAAATTTTAAAATTTTTGAAAGGACCTTTTCGTAAAAGAAGAATGACCCACAATGGAAAGAAATGATTATAATAGTTTATTTTTCTTGTGTGGGTGTGAAAAGCAGTGGCCTAGTCTAGTCACAGGAGCCGAGGCACCTAATGTAACACCTCACTCTATGATTATGTGCCTCAATCTTATTACTATATGCCATAAATAATTACCCCCAAAAATCTAACATTGCGGCCTTTATCATTGACCCATCCACAAATATTTGATTCCATTACATGGGAGAATGATTACTATGTGCAAATGTTTTGAAGCAAAATTGAATAACAATTTCAATGATTGGTGCAAGTCTACACCAATGGATTTTCAAAGACACACATGTATGTATGATGTATAACCTTATCGTTTTGTGATTGGGTTTTCACCAATGCCCACATGTAGAGAATCTATAATATGGACCCCCAAAGATCTTTCAAGCCCACAATCATAATCATACATACAGCTACTATCCTCCTCGTCCTACTCATTCCAAATCAAATTACATCTAATCAAATATGTTTTGGTACCACCAAAATAGACACATGTGGAGTAAACTACAATCTATGTATATGTATGTGTTTCTATATTTGACCCGACCTATGTACACAATACTAAAACATGTGAAAAGGTTAATGTGAGAATGGTGGTGAATGGGGAACACAGGAGTGAATAGGTTCATGAAGTGCTTTCAACTCCTCGCACTCTACTCTTGCCACTTCACACATTACATCCTTGTTGCTACGTGGCATCCATCTGTTTGATTACACGATATTGAGTTTGTGTTAGGATTCATCTGGCCTAGGTCAGATAAAACCAGAACTGTTGCATTGCTTCTGAAACGAGAAACCGCCAAGTTCATCATCAATCTTCACCTGCATCTCTACCAGAAGAGTCCGGAGTCTGATGATTTCAGTTTCCAACATTGCTTGGCTCTGAAGCTTTCTAAGCAAATGCTCATTTAGAGATTGCAGTCTCTTGACTTCCTCTTCAAGGTATGCCGTGCGAGCCTTCTCCTTCTCTCTGTATTTCCTCACTGCCTCTCTGTTCCCACATGACCGTCTCTTGTTGCTTCCGTCAGCATGATGATTCTCTTGTGGATCCTGTTACAAAATAAACAATAATCCCATAACCAGACCATATATCTCATACACAAAGAAGAGTAAAGTAAGATATGTAGTGTACAGGGATAATGAGATGAGTGTGAGTGTGAGTGTGGAAGCATGTGTGTGAGTGAGAAGCATCCTCTGGCCCTGGAGGGTTGCAACTATGAGTGTGACTACATCCTCTTGATGCTTGATTCCAAACCTCCACTTCTTCCTCATCCATCTTTACTATGATTCTAAACTTTTAGACCTTCAAGAAAAGCACCTACTCTGATCAAAACTGAATCATGGAGATATTTAGGGGTTCCATAGTGCTCAAGAATGTTTCTTGATGATGAATACAACAGTAGTCAACGCTTACAGAGAATAAAAGCTTGTTGGATTACTCTGAAATCTTTGCAACAACAAAAGATACCTTTCAAAGTTGGAAGATCCAAATTTCAAAGATAGATAGGATTCTGGATTTTGAGGTCGCAGTGAGAACAAATCGTGAAGAGAACAGAGCTGGTAAAGAAGATTGCGATGGAACATACCTTACTGGAAGAGACATAAGCCATTTACCATGTCTTAATGCAATTAACTACTACCACGAGAAAAAAAAAAGAGAAGGAGAGAATATTGGTTATTTAATATCAACTGTCAACTTGTTAATTAATAGACACAATAGCAAAGACTTTTCTCATGGCACGTTTTGTAAGATGTTGTGTCCGTTTTGTGACTTTTGCCGATCATTATCATCTTCTTCTTCTTCTTCTTTTTTCCTTCCCGAGACTTAAGTTCAGAACCAAACAGAAAAAAAAAACACAGACATGGTTAGTTTGATAAACGCTTGGTGTTTAGTGATCATCTCATTATCTTACACTTATGTCGTTGCCCAATTTGTTCCAAAAGGAATCAGAAGGATGATACTATTCATACCCGTCTTCCTCTATTTCTTCATAGTTCCTTTATCATTGTCCACCATACATTCAATAGGCATCACAGCTTTCTTAATCTCCTGGCTCGCTAACTTCAAGCTCTTTCTCTTTGCTTTAGGAAAAGGTCCTCTGATCTCTTCAAACTCTAGACCCTTATCACTCCCTATTTTCTTAGCCGTCTCTCTCTTTCCCATCAAGATTCATCTGAGCCCTAAACCTACCACATCTAACAGAGTATCATCCAAAGAAGGTCTCTTATATTATACCATCATGGTTACTCTTTTGATTCTTATGACAAAAGTCTACGAGTATAGCAGTAAACTCCCTGACAAAGCCGTATTGACTCTCTACGCAATTCATATCTATCTCTATCTCGAGCTCATCCTATCTATCACAGCAACCGTGGTTCGAGCTATGTCAAGTCTTGAGCTCGAACCACAGTTCAACAAACCGTACCTAGCGACATCTCTTCAAGACTTCTGGGGGAGACGATGGAACCTGGCGGTCAGTGGAATCCTAAGGCCTACTGTGTACGAGCCAACGGTTCAGCTCTTCTCTGTTTTGGACCCGAACTGGTCCCGTGTTCTTGGTGTTTTCTCCACGTTTGTTGTCTCAGGGTTGATGCACGAGCTCATCTTCTTCTACATGGGAGGGATGATGCCGGATTGGAAGGTAATGTGGTTCTTTCTCATACATGGATTCTGCACGAGTGTGGAGATTGCTGTCAAGAAAAAAGTCAACGGAAGGTTGAGGTTTCCGACAGGAATCAGTCGTGTTTTGACGTTTTGGTTTGTAATGGTGACGAGTTTGTGGCTGTTCTTGCCGGTGTTTAATCGGGGCAACATATTTGAGAGGGTTCTTGAAGAGTACGCATATGCAGGGGAGGTCGCAGCCAAGACCAAGAGCATCATTGCGTCTCTACTTTAAATACTTACCATGAAACAAATCTGGAGTTTCATTTTGCTACAAAACATATCTAAGATCATGATTGCATGGGCCATATGTGACTTTATTTTTGTTAGTTGCTACAACAAATTCTAAAAATGTTTTAGTTGACAAATTGGTCATATTCGAAATAATTTTCTTAAAATCCGATTTAGACAGCTCAAATCGGTTTAAACCGTCTTAAATGAACTAAAAACGATGTAAATGGTCTAACTAAATCAAGTAACAATGTTGGGGGAATATTTAGGGTTACTTTAAAGGGATGATAGTACCAACAATATGTTCTTGATATGAATACAATTGTAGTCATTGCTTATAGGGAATCAAACCTGTAAACTTTGTTGGATTCCTCTTAAATTGTTGCAACAACAAAGGATATAATATCTTTCAAAGTTGAAAGATCCAAAATCAAAGATAGATAGGATTCTTGATGAAGGTCCTCACAAAACAAAATAAAATAAAAAAATGTGAGGAGAACAGAGTCGATGATGGTGTACCTTGAGATTACGATGGAATAAAAGTTACTGGAAGAGACAAAAGCCATTTACTGTGTCTTATCGCAACTAAAAATATTCCAACGAGGAAAAAGACATATGGTTTTTTAATGTCAATAGTCAACTTGTTAATGAATAGAAAATATAACGAAGACTTTCCTCATGATTTTACATTGATGGCATGGCACGTTCTGTAAGAATCTTACGTCAGTTTTGTCGATCATCGTTCATCATCCTTCCGGAGACTTGAATATTCAGAAGTCAGAACCAAAAGAAAACACACAGAGATGGTGAGTTTCATTAGCGCATGGTGTTTAGTGATCGTCTCGTTGTGTTACACTTATGTCGTTGCACGTTTGGTTCCAAAAGGGATCAGAAGGATGATACTATTCATACCTGTCTTCCTCTATTTCTTCATAGTTCCTTTATCATTGTCCACCATACATTCAGTAGGCATCACCGCTTTCTTCATCTCCTGGCTCGCTAATTTCAAGATCTTTCTCTTTGCTTTTGGACGAGGTCCTCTTGCTTCAGACAGCAAACCCTTAGCTCTCCCTATTTTCTTAGCCGTCTCTTGCTTGCCTATCAAGATTCATCTGAACCCTAAACCTACCACATCTTCTTACTCCCATGGAGGATCATCTAGAGAGGGTCTCTTATACTATAGCATAAGGGCAGGTCTTCTTCTTCTTCTGACAAAAGTCTACACGTATAGCAGCAAACTCCCGAACAAAGCGGTTTTGGCTCTCTACGCAATTCATATCTATCTCTCCCTCGAGATCATCCTCTCTGCCACAGCCACCATGGTTCGAGCCATGTCAAGTCTTGAGCTAGAGACACAGTTCAACAAGCCCTACCTGGCTACATCACTTCAAGAGTTTTGGGGCAGACGATGGAACCTGGCTGTCAGCGGAATCCTAAGGCCTACTGTCTACGAACCGATGGTTCAGCTGTTCTCTATCTTGGGCCCGAACTGGTCGCAGGCTACTGCTGTTTTTGCCACGTTTGTTGTCTCGGGGCTGATGCACGAGCTCTTATTCTTCTACATGGGAGGGTTGATGCCGGACTGGAAGGTAATGTGGTTCTTTCTTATACACGGGTTCTGCACAACTGTGGAGATAGCCATGAAGAAGAAAGTCAACGGAAGATGGAGACTCCCAACAGTAGTGAGTCGTGTTTTAATTTTCGGGTTTGTCATGGTGACTGGTTTGTGGCTGTTCTTGCCCGTGTTTAAGCGTGGAAACATGTTTGAGAGGATTCTTGAAGAGTATGCATATGCAGGCGCGGTTGCAGCCGAGATCAAGAGCATCATCACTTCTCTAATTTAACACTTACATTTAAACAAATCTTGAAATATTTCTATTGCTACAGAACAGATCAAGATCATGATACGACTCTTTCCTTGTTTGCTATTGCTATAACAATTCCAAATTTTCTGCGACTCCGGTCACTTACATAAACCATGGTTCAAGCAAATAGTGGAAGTTTAAAAAACTATACATTAATCATTGCAAACATGATATGGAACTTGTAGATGAGCTGGAATAAAACCTCTCAAGTAGAGACAATAGCATGCAATATGGATCAAGAAGATCTGCCTAGGTTACACATCTTAAATCTATCTAACTCACTTCAGATTTGTAGACAACTCCTATAACTAACTCTTTTCTCACTAAAAATCAAACGCATATGGAGTTGTTTTCTTACTGATCATGGTTCACAAAAGCCCCAAGCTTTGCCCGGAAGATCAGTTCCACTTCACCACGAAGGCTTTCCACATCTTCAGCATAGTCTCTCTTGTCTTCATCAGCCATTGATTCCTTGAGTTGCAGCTTCATTCTCTCTAATGCTCCTTCCAACCCGCAGAAGTCTCTGAGAATCAAAGGCTCTATGGATTTAAGTTGAAGTAGGGTATTGATTGCTGTAAGAGCCTGAAACATATTTACACAGAGTAGCACAAGTTAGAAGAAGATGTGTGCCAAGCTTGGATAATATAAGATCATTGCGGTCATTAAGAGTTTCACCTTCTCCTGGAGATCAAGATCAAGCACAAGGATCAAATCCACCACGGATTTTAGGAACAAACGGTCACTGAATATAGGGAGTTCAGCTTTCTCAGTGTTCTGTAGTTGAAACTCAGCCAAATCACCAACTAAGAAAACAGCTTTCCGTCTCAGTTTAATATCCAAGCTCTCATTGCTCATTACATCCTGCAGAAGCAAGAATGGTTTTTGGATACAGAGAATAAATGAACAAAAGCTGACAGTGAAATGGTGTCATGTCCTGGTTACTCACCCGAAGCATAATGTATCCATGAGATGCATAAAACATGTCCTGACCAGCTACGTTGTTCCGTATCAAGGCAGAGACAGCAAAGAGTGCTTTCACAGCTTCTTCGGTAGAGCTGGAGTTTACTAACTTTATCAATGTTGCTAAAGCCCCAAGTTCAAGAACCTGTTACCAAACTCGCAAAGTAAGAAACACGACTGTTTCATATGGCTTCTACACACAGTTCAATGGAGGAAACAGACCTGCGCTTGAACAAAAGGGTTGTTTTGACAGGCCGTCCCGAGCACCCACGCAGCCAGTTTCCTTACCTCTGAGTCAGAGTGATAAAGCTCTCCTGCCACAACTTTAAGCCCTCCTGATTTGCTCAAATCTGCACAGAGTAGACTCATCAGAAACTCAAGGGACAGCAACAACTTATCAGACTCATGTATAAGAGAACATAACTAAAGCTTCTACTTACCATTGGCATTATCAATAGGTTCAACAAGGATCAAAAGCTCCTGCAAAGCACGGTAACGATCTTCCAGAGACAAAGAAGCATTGTTCAAGTCAGATACAGCTATCTGCATCAACTTAGCATCTGATGGCATATTCAGCTTCTCCACCAGCTCCTATTCAACAGTACTTTTTACATGAGATTCCATTGAAACAGAGTCATAATAGTCACAAAACTTCTCACCTTTAACTCAACTTGACGCTTCTGCAACTCATCCATAGACATCTTCTGCGCATCTTTAGCTGCTTCCTTCAACGCCGCAGGATCAGAGTGACCTAACCGGAGTTAAGTAGAATCAGATCTAGACGAAAAGAAGAGCAGTGAGGGAAGATGATTCTTACCTATAGCCCAGTGTAACATCCCATCAAGGGAGGAGAATCCACCATCGATTTGATCTTGTTCTCCGATGACCACACCGGAATCTTCAACCAGCTCCGCCTCGTCTCTCGAAGTAGCCCAAACCATTCCTCCAGAAGAGTTAGCTTTCTCAGCGATTGTGCCTCCCACTAGTGAGATCACAACCAATAGTGACAGACATCGGAAGAAGTTCATCGTCGCCGTTATCTTGTTTTTTTTTTTCTCGGAGGCAGACTTTTAGTTAAGTAAAGAAAGGGCTTAAGGTTTTGTTTACTGAAGTTTTTTTTGGAGGTTTCTGGTGTTTATATTACGGAACGAAACTACTCGTTACAACGTGTCCGGCCAATAAATTTATTACACGTCATCTCGTGGGTTGTCACCCCCTCCGTGTCCACGTGGTGGTAATCGAATGGTTGTGTGGTGATGGTAATGATGCATTAATAAACTTTGTTTAACTAATTTGGATCTAGACAAAGATGCAACCATATCTGGTTAGTACAATACGTACGTTCGTTTGACTGGGGTGTAAATTGACACAACTGTTATTTATTGGGTATAAAATGAAGTGATGATAAACTAGAGGAGCTCATTTCTGGTTGATTTCAGAAATTCTGACTACTTAGTTTATGTAATTTCAGCTAGGATTTTTAGTAATTTCATAGTTTTAAATATTTTTGAGTTTTTTTTTGTAATTACAGACATTAAATATAACTTATTCTAAACCAAATTTAAAAAATCCAAACATTTAAAAATTCAAATAAAATTTTTAGAATATGGTATTAAAATTCTGGAAAAAAAACTAATCCAAATCTAAATGGCTACCGTAAAGTCTAAAACTTTGACTGGGAGTAATATTTGGGCAAGAAATTAGAATAATGTACTTCATTGGGTACAAAATTAAGTGATGATAAACTAGAAGGCCGACTTTGGGTTTCAAATGGTGGTGTAAATTGATAACATTTATTATTTACTGGGTAGAAAAGAGAGAGATGATAAATTAGAGGGGCGACTATGTGATACTGGAATAATAAGAGAAAAAGACAAAAAAAAAGAAAGAAAGAATCATGACTTCTCCACTTCCCTTGAGTTGAGCCTAATCAAATGTCCCTTTTATTACCAAAATGACTTCTCACGCCACCAGACTCATCAACACCTTTCCCTTTCTCCCACCTCCTCCCACACTCTCCCAACCCCAATGGGTTACCTCTCCTGCAAAGCCGGATCCGCCGTCGCAGTCTCCTCCTCCAAACCCTCCACCACCACCAAACCTCCTCCTCCCGAATCCCCCCCAGAAGAAACCCGTCCCAAACTACGCCGTTTCCTCCACCGCGACCTCGAATCCGCCACAAACGGATTCTCCCCCACCAACCTCCTCGGCCGGGGAAGCCACGGCAGCGTCTACAAAGCCGTCCTCGCCTCCTCCTCCTCCCGCCTCGTCGCCGTCAAGCGCCCTTCCAAATCACGAGAAATCAGCCGCGAGTTCCACAACGAGTTCGACATCCTCTCCAAGATCCGCAGCCCCAGGTTCGTCAACCTCCTCGGCTACAGCGCCGACAACGCCAAGGAGCCTCTCCTCGTCGTGGAATTCATGCCTCACGGAAGCTTATACGACGTGATCCACTCGGATTCAAACACCTCCGTCGCCATATCCACCTGGAGCAAGAGAATCAAAGTCGCTCTGCAGATAGCCAAAGCCGTGGAGCTACTCCACTCGCGAGATCCGCCGATTATACACAGAGATATTAAATCAGCGAACGTTCTGATGGATAAGAACCTAAACGCGAAGCTCGGAGACTTCGGTTTGGCGATCAGATGCAATGTGGAGGATCACAAAGTCAAATCAACACCTCCAGCTGGCACGATGGGATACCTAGACCCGGATTACGTGACCGCGGACCGGTTAAGCACGAAGACCGATGTGTTCAGCTTCGGGGTACTGTTGCTGGAGATAATCAGCGGGAGGAAAGCGATTGATGTGAGATATTCGCCGTCGTTTATAGTGGATTGGGCGATTCCGATGATAAAGAGAGGGAAGATCGGGGGGATATATGATCCGATGATAGGGGCGCCGGTGGATGTGAGCGTGAGGAATCATTTGGGGTTGGTGGCGGCCAAGTGTGTGAGGACGTGTAGGGAGAAGAGGCCAGGGATGGGGGAAGTGGTTGGGTGGCTCACGGGGTTGACGCAGTCGGTTAGGTCGAGGAGGTGGGATGAGTTGGGGATTGGGAACCCGTGTATGATGGTTGAGACTGTGGGAAGCAGACCCGTGGAATGATTTCAAAAAAAAAGAAAAAATTATTTGAGTTTTTATTAACGTTTTTTTTTAATCAAGTGCTTCGCTTTGAAGCTATTTGTTTCTTTTTTTGGTTGGTCAATTTGTTTATTCAGCAAAGTATTATTGTATATAATAAAAGATTTTTAATCACGTAAACATCGTGCTGCGTCATGGTATAATGATGGATTGCCTCTTAATATTTACGTATTATGTATTGGTCCAGAGTCAATGCATGGAAATGTTGCACAAGAAGCGTGGTTGAGAATATTCAAAAACATTCTCTTGGAATATTGAGTTGAGCCATCTTGTTTCCTCTTAACTTGAGCTCCATTTTGATTGATCTTGCCATGATCAGAGCGGTCCATCCCAGCAAGAGGCCATATTCCAATTTGGAAAATAGATCTTTTTTCCTTTATAAAAAAAAAAACTTTTTATCTAAGTTTAAATGGGGCACAAAATTTTTTGGCCCCTAAACAGTGACTTACTTGACATGTGTCTTGGGTCGGGCCTGGCCATGATCAGTACGGTACTTGAACTTGGCTGCCTAGTGCCTGCAGGATTGGTTTCTCTATCAGTGCTAGTGAAGATTTTTGTTTTATTTTATTTATCAAGCTGTTGCATTGACCCTGCAGCTGTAGTTGGCAAGGATGGAACAGCTTGCATATTTGATATTACAGTAAGATATGTTCACAGATGGTTAGGTATGATATGCATTATGTGTCTTTTGTCTTGTGGAACTTGGAAGGTGAAACTGTAAAATATTGGATGTCGTTGTGATTGGTAATGCTGTAAAATAAGTAAATAACAGTCAGATTTGGTAATGTTGTATGTATAACTATGAACTATCTAATTGCACGATAACGTGCTTATCTTTGAGCGAGAATCAACTATTTCTTAGCGGGTCTTCGCTTGGGAAGGTAATAGTATCTGACCCAATGTTGTATCGACCAGTAGCTACTCTTAAAATCCACGGTAACTGCAGGAGGTAAATTCAAACTTCATTTTAGTATACATATCCAGTGAGAACACCTAAAGCAGCACCCTCTTTCACATGTAATACAAGCCATCTGCTTAAACCAACGCTCCAAATCTCGCCCTTCTCTGCAACAATTGCTACGTATGTTTCATGCTGGGAGCTCAGGTATGTTAATAAGAAACGGCTGGATTTGTTTGAAAGATGCAAGTTCTAAATTGGGTTTACAAACAACACTGTTTTGAGATGTGTTGTAACCAAGTTTTTATCACAGGAAAATGACACAGTAGTGGAAAAAACCAGTGAGCCCTAATGTCGTGTCCTTGATACTACAGTTACCGAATGATACATCGGTTATAAACGACAAGGAGAAGGAACAACCAAGTGGATACAATTGAAATCGATACAACTGAAAGGAAAACTCGGGCTCAAATCAGTTACTTAGCAACGGGAACGAAGAAGGTAATAATAACACAATAGCCATAACAGCTCACAGTGGTGGTAAATTCATAAGCATATGGAAATTCAATAACTCGCAGAAAGTGTAGTGCTTTTACTACATATTTACGTATTATGTAATGGTCCAGAGTCAATGCGTTTATCATTATCATGGTATAACATGGTATAATGATGGATCACCTCTGAATATTTACGTATTATGTAATGGTCCAGAGTCAATGCGTTTATCATTATCCCAAATATTAAGGCGAGGAAGTGTTGCACAAAGAAGCGTTGTTGAGAATATTTAAAGACATTCTCTTGGGATATTGAACTTGGCTAACCTAGTGCCGGCAGGATTGGTTTCTCTACCGGTGCTAGTGAAGATTTTTCTTTTATTTTTTATTAAGGGCTGTTGCATTGACCGTGCAGTTGTAGTTGGATGCAAGGATGGAACAGCTCGCATATTTGATATGTACAGTAAGATATGTTCACAGATCGTTAGGTATGATATTGCATTATGTGTGTCTTTTGTTTTGTTCAACTTGGAAGGTGAAACTGTCAAATATTGGATGTCGTTGTGAATATTCTTTACAATTTACATATGAGAACCTAAACCACAAGTTAACGGTCAGATTTGGTAATGGCAGGACGTGTGGTGGGCCGATAACCTGCTTCTCAACTATTTCTTAGCGGGTCTGTATCTGACCCATTGTTGGATCAATCGGTAGCTACTCTTTAAATCCACGGTAAATACAGGTGGTAAACTCAAAACTCCATTTCAGTTTACATCACGAGTAAGAACACCTAAGCAACCCCCTCTATCACATGTATACAAGTCATCTGATTAAACCAACACTCCAGTCTCGCCTTCTCTGGAACAACTGCTACGTATGTTTCATGATGGGAGCTCATATGTGTTAATAAGAAACGGCGGGATTTGTTTCAAAGATGCAAGTTCTAAATTGGCTTGTACAAACAACACTATTTTGAGATGTGTTGTAACCAAGTTTTTATCACATGAAAATGACACAGTAGTGGCTAAAAACCAGTGAGCCCTAATGTCGTGTACTCGATACAACAGTTAAAGAATAATGAAACATCGGTTATGATTGCTGGTGGAAGGGACGGTTAGTTGCGAGTGATCAGAAAAGTGGTAGACTAACTGTATAATGGACGACACGGTCACAACAACTAGTAGAAGGAACAACTAAGTGGTGGCTGAGAAAAGGATAGGAAAAAGAGTATTTCAAGACATTGAACCCAATTCAACTGAAAGGAAAACTCGGCCTCAAATCAATTACTTAGCAACGGGAAATGAAGAAGGTAGTTATAACACAGTTACCATAACAGCTCACAGTGGTAGTAAATTCATAAGCGTAAGGAAATTCAATCACTCGCAGAAAGTGTAGTGCTTTTACTACATAAACCATTGTTACTCTTTGTTTTGTGACAAAATTGTTGTAAAGAAACACACAAAAATTGAAAGAGAAAGAAAACAGGATTCGTCTACTTGGCAGATTTCTTGGAAGGACCAGCTTGAGATTCAGCTTTGAGGATATTAAGTTGACCACCTTCTTTGCAAGCAGCATTGGCAGCTTTCACTTCATTGCAATGGTTTATGAATTTCGTAAGCTCCTGCTCCAATTTCAACAAAACCAAAATTAATTAAAATTGATAACAGTTCAAACGACTCGAGATTAATGGAGATATAAAGGAAAAGAGAAACATACCCGGTCGGTGTCTAACTCCTTCGTCGTCTTTAATGGTTTCATATTTCTCCTTCCTGTAAGAACAACAAGAAGACGATGATAAAGAATCTGAGAAACAGAAGCCCTGAGGAGGGATTCAAGTGAATAATACCTTTGCGATTTTGAACGGCTTTTCCATGGCGGTTTGGGGCAATAGTCTTCTTCTTCTGTTGGCCCTTGAACTGATTGCTCTTCTGCGTCATCTTCTTCCCCTTTGATCCTCTCTCTCGTCCTCTTTCTCTAGGGTTTTCGACTCTCTTTAACTCTAGGGTTTTGATGTAACTAAAAACAGCACACTCAAGGCCTAAATGATGGGCTTTAAAGGCCCATATTGAAAAACCCGATTAGCACATTTACAAATTTTGTTACGAAATCGATTCGTCGATCGGTTAGCTCCATTTCGTTTGGTTTAAAACAAATTGGAATTATACTAATTTTTTGAATTAATTGCACTAACTTAAATGATCCAAAATAACAGAATTTGACCTCTTTTGTCAACTAACATAATTTAACTTAATATAACCAACCAAACAATTAAAATATGTCGGAAAAATTAAAATTAAAATTAAAAATTAAAGAATTTGGTCCAGTTAATTTTAATTTTTTTTAAATTGAAGAATCAAAATTAATTGAAAGCCAAAGAGACGGAATCAAACCGTAAAATATTTTGGTTCAATTTGGTAATTTTTCCAATTATCGAATAAACCGAAACACCGAACTAACCGACTCGGCTAAACCGAAACCGGAGGTCTATTGGAGTCGTTCTAAAGTGGGAGAAAGAAAGAAGAGAAGATTTGGTTGAGAGTGGAGGAAGACACGGAGACGCATAAAGCGGTAAAATCCTTTCCGACTCCCTCTCCCCTTTTCTGCAAGCTTCCTTCATACTCCTTTTCTTCGTCTACGTCTTCGAATCTTCGTTTGATTTAGAGTTGCTTTTGTGAAATGTGTGTTTTCCAGTTCAGGTTAAACGTTCCTTCATGACTTCGATTCTGTCTCATCACTCCCGTTTGCTGTGGAGAAACCTCTCCTTCGCCAGAAAAATCGGAACTTTATGCAATAGGAGGAACTACTCTTTCATCACTCCTTCTCTTTCACGCACCACCACCAAGGTCACATATGCTTTACTTACTATCTCTTTCAAAGTCTCTGTCTTCTGGCAGTTATGCTGTGTGTGGATTCTAATGTTGAAACCACAATATGTGGGGGGGGGGAGCTCAGTGTTTTTGCAGTTCCACTTGTAATTTGGACGCAACTGTTTCTCAGTTCTCTGAAAGTCAACATTTTGCACCAATAAAGTCAGAAGAAAAAGTAACAATTAGCGCTGCTTCTTCTAATGGCAGAGTGATGCTTATCGATGGAACTTCCATTATTTACAGGGCTTACTATAAGCTTCTAGGTATAATGCTTATTCATCATATGTTACTACATAGAAAGAATGTAACTTTGATCAAAAAAAAGAAAGAATGTAACTTTTTTTTTTTGCTCCCTCTGGTTTCACGGTTACTTACATTTTCATTGGGAAAAGTGCAGCAAGGTTGAATCATGGTCATCTGACTCACGCTGATGGAAACGCTGACTGGGTTCTGACTATTTTCTCAGCTCTTTCTCTTGTAAGTTCATACTTTCCTCTACATATGTTCCTTTGTGTCCTAGTTAATTAAGTCTATTGACTGAAAAAGCTTCTTTGAGCATTAAGCGTGGGGGGTTCAAGTAATTATGGTTGCCTTTTGAACTGTGTTTCTCAACTTAAAGCTTATAAGTATCTCTTTCTTGTTGCTGTTTTGACTTTAGTATTACCTTTTCTGCGTTGTGTTATAACTTGCAGATCATTGATGTTTTGAAATTTCTCCCATCCCATGTGGCGGTATGTTCCATTTCCATTTTCTCTCTCTCACTTCTTTATCTCTGTGATTTTTAAGATGAAGCTCTTGTTTTTTTTTTCTTCTGATCAAAAGATGAAGCTCTTGTATTTTTCTGTTTTAGCATTTCCTTACAGCTAATAACTACTGGATATATCCTGCAGGTGGTGTTCGACCATGATGGTGAGTCCTAACGTAAACAAGGCATTGGGTGTGCCACAATTGTTAAAATTCATCGACTTCTAGCTATTTTCTTTGGTGTTGTAGGACGAATACGTGTTTCTTGGGGGACTTTTAGCGTCTATAGTTAACAATTTTGAGTTTTGCGTGTCAGATGATATGGACTAATTCACTGATAATCCCTTAATATAGATTTAGTTGGATAGTTATGGCCTCTGAATTTCCTGATTATTTGTCCTCTAGTGTAATGCTTGTGTTCAGCTTGTTGATTGTTGTCTGTCAAACTTTCTCCAAGTATCGGCTTCCTCAATTATTTGACTTGAGTGTTGAAAGTTTTATTCCATAGGCCCAAGAGAAAGCAGGTCCCCGCCTAGATATTGATATATTACTTGAGGTTAAAATCATTACTGTATCATTGATGAAATCTATCAAGAAAGGGGTTTCTAGTTATACATAATAGTGGTAATTTGACATACATATCATCTAGTAGGCAAGTTTATGGGGGGCACGAATAATAAATGGTTTGTGGAACTGTACTTTTCTAGGTATTCCTTTTGACAATGTAGAGTCTTTTTCAGGAGTTGCTTATGGCAGTACTTCTAATTCATCAATTGGTTATCATTCTTCAAAAGGTAAGCTCCATGTCTAAGTGAAATTTAAGTTAATATGTTGGTTTGATCAGTTGATAGTGTAAGAAATGGGGTATCTTTGTTTGAGAGCTAAGTTAGTATGCTGACTGATGGTTATGGATGCAATATCATCACTAATAATAGTATTAAATTGACACGTAAGCTTTCAGAACATTGCTTCTATAGATCTTAACTCGCAGCTATCCCAAATATTATGGCTTACTTGTCAAGGGTAACATTTAAAGTGCAATGCTAGCTTTTCCCTCTCTTTGGGCTGTTTGCTTGCCGCTTTTTGCCAGTCATAAACTTTGGTGTAGAGAATAGAAGGTTCAGTATGACGATGCACACTAAATTGATTTCTATATATATATCGTACCAGTTTGGCATATTCTTGTTGTCAGTGGGCCGTATTTAGCTCCAGTGATCAGTCTGCTGTCTTTTGTTTTACCGTTTTTTACATGCTGATACAGATATGTATATCCACAACTCTCTCCTTCTGAGTGATTAGAACGCTTGTCTAAGTTGTCTTCTCATAGTTATGCATTTTAAGGCTTTTTTTTTTTTGCACTCGTAACCTTGACATGATTCTCCCTTTTCTTTGTGCAGAGTGTGAAGGATGAATGCAAACTCATCAATATCTAACCTATTCCTGTTCTGTGTTTTAACTTTTTTAGGCATGAACTTCCGTCATACTCTCTACCCTGCCTATAAAAGCAATCGTCCTCCCACACCTGATACCATAGTACAAGGACTTCAATATCTCAAAGCGTCCATCAAGGCAATGTCTGTAAAAGTTATAGAGGTAAATCATACACATGAATGTCATATTTACTTTTATTGTGATGATTACTCACTAATGGGGAGAAATTCTATGAAGACAGGTGCCAGGTGTAGAAGCTGATGATGTGATTGGAACACTGGCTATGCGAAGCATTGGTGCCGGCTTTAAAGTAATGATTATCGGTTACTTAAAAAGTGTTCTTTGCTATATATTACTCAGGTCCTGTTGAATTTGTCTCTTTTCCTAGATGTGGTCTGATCATTTTGTTTGTTGCCTCCTTACAGGTTAGAGTTGTCTCTCCGGACAAAGACTTCTTTCAGATTCTTTCTCCCTCACTGCGTCTTCTTCGAATAGCACCGCGCGGATCGGAGTAAGTATATCTCGTTAGTCAACTGTTGTCTCTTCATATTTGCATATTCCCACTCAGTGGTGTCAATGTTATCGGTTCTTGTGGCCAGGATGGTTTCTTTTGGAGTAGAAGACTTTGCTAAAAAGTTCGGAAATTTGAAGCCAGCCCAGTTTGTTGATATCATAGCCCTTGCTGGAGACAAGTCTGATAACATTCCAGGTAACACCCACCTCCTCTGCCCCTTACAAATTTGTTTCTGATATTCTTTCTGTAAATATTCATTTCATAGCTGCATTAGTTAATATTGGTTAGATACAAAAATTTAGCAAAAGTGCACACAGAGACTGCCCAAAGTGAGATCCAACGTTTGTGTATACGTGCAGGAATTGATGGAATTGGGAACGTGCATGCAGTGGAGCTGTTATCTAGATTTGGTAAGTCGTTGACACATATACTATAAGCTTTGACTTCATTGATTTGCGCCCTCCTTGTTAACTTGTTAATCATTCTTATTGTATCATCAGGGACATTGGAGAATCTGTTGGAGTCTATTGATGAAATAAAGGAAGGAAAACTAAAAGAGGTGAGTGAGATGGCTCTTTCATAAGCAAGCTAGTACTTTTTGAACATGCAATTGCGTAATTTTGCTATCTTACCTTATTTTCGCAACAGAGCCTAATAGCTCACGCAGATCAAGCCATGCTAAGCAAGAAGTTGGTAGGTTTTTATGTTATTATCCTTCTCTCATTCGTTTCAGCTATTTGAGCTTCGTTATGCAGCAGGGATGGTGATACTTTTTTTGTTTTGTTAAAATGGCAGGCACTGTTACGGACCGATCTCCCGGATTACATAGTACCGTTTGAAACAAGAGATCTTATTTTTAAGAAACCAGAGGTTAGTCTGACTATAATCTGTTCAAAATGGCTACACTATTATTATTACCTCATGTAATACAATATATAATATGATTATGTGTACAGGACAATGGGGAGAAATGGAGGAGCTTGTTGGTCGCCATAGGGGCATACGCAGAAGGGTTCTCAGCTGATCCAGTCATGAGAAAAACTTTACAGTTATGGGAGAGCCTTGATGCAAAAAAGTCATGATTCATGATAACATATTAGCATCTTTTGTTGGGTGGTACATATAATATAAAAAAGGTCAATGGTAGAGGGTTCTCTTCGTGAAGGGTAGACACTTTTGAACAATCATTTTCGTAAAGCATCATGATGCTTTTATTGAAAACCAGCGAGAGATTGGTTGAAGTAGATGATGCTTGTTCGGTAGCAAAAGCGACTTGTTTGAGTAATTTAACAATTGTGCCCAACTTCAACTACCACTCACCTCATAAAAATATTATCAATTTAATTGATTGGTGCTTTGAGTGTTTCGCCATGAAGCTCCACGACCAAGGCATGGACCTCACTGCTCTCTGTTCTCGCTCACACACAAGAATTCAAATTTTATAAACATATATATATATATATATAATTTTTTAAAATGAATTTGATATAAATATATATATCTGAGTTTGTTTGCTTTGAAATCGTTTTGAAAATTTACAATCAATGAAAAGTTGTATAAATTTTGATTAACAGAACCTTGCCCCTCAAAATAAATAGAACCAAAGACAGTAAAAATGAAAAGAACCTTGCCCCTCAAAATAAAGAGAACCAAAGACAGTGAAAATGGAAACAGAACCTGCTTATGTCAAAACGTAACAAAGACCATCCTAAATTAGCCAATGAAATGATCCATCAAACATTTATGAAGGTAAATAACTCAAAGCACTTTTTGAGAAATGTTAAGCTACGCGAGACACTCATAACATCAAGTAGTAGAGTACACTCGCCTTGAAAGCCAAAGCCGGTGAGACTAGTAGAGACAGAAGTGGTTAGTACATACGGGAAATAGCGAGTTGGTTTGTTATAACTACAAAAGCAGAATTAGTTACCTTTAATTGTGTTATTTATTACATTCACACTTTTTCTAGAAACAAAAGAGAAGGAAGGCTTTTTTTGCCATTCACTCTCTCCATCTGTCTCTCTAAAGGAAAGGAAGTGAAAACAAAAAGACAGCCGAATTAGCCAACTTTGTAATCGCTTTCACTTTGCCCTTGTGGGCTATTTACAATTTCCCTTTTCCACCAAATTCAACCCTCTAATTTCCCTACGACAGTGTAAAAAAAAACACACACAGACACACAAGAGCTTCACCTTTTATTTGCCACTCTTCTTCGAGGAGCGCCAACCACAAACTTCTTCTAAAACTTCAAACCTACACACACACACAAAAGAAGAAAATCAAAACCAGACACACACACACACAACTCACAAACAGCACACTTCTTTAAAAATCATCCTAAAATCTCAAACCTTAAACACACAAAGACGATGAAACACAAACAAAACTCAAACAACAAACTTCTTCTAAAACCTTCCTGAAACCTCAAATCTAAAACACACAGAAGTCAGAGCCACAAGAATAAGATGAAACACAACACACACACAAACCTCAAACAACAAACTTCATCTAAAACCCATCAAGACTCAACCTTTTCCCATCCTACTACATTTAGGTAGAGATTCAATGCTTACCTAATTCACTTTCTGCACTGATTCATTCAATCCCTAAAGATCACATCATCCGCTATCTCCATCAGCCCTCGCAACGACTCCGGCTCGAACTTCCTCGCAAAGAAGTAATCCAAACTCGAATTCGACCTCCTCAACGAACGTATCAACCCAGGCGACACCTCCTCCGCCCCGTACGCGTGAGGATGACCACCAACACTCCCCGTCCAGTCAACACGTGTGAGCGTAAACCCGCTACACCCTTCACGATCCTCAAGAGACAACAACGTCGGGAAATAATGCTCCTCGGGGTAACAAGACGCCTCATCATCAACGCAAGGCAACCTAAACTTCCTCCACAGCTTCCTCTCCCTTATCACCATCACCGCGTGACGTTTCGCCATCACGAAGAACTGTGACCCCACGCGGAAATCCTCGTACCTAATCTCCGGCATCATCGCGTCGACTCCACGCGCCGCGTAGCGTCTCGGGAGGAACGGCTCGTCGGCGAGAATCTCCACGAAGCTTCGATGATGATGAGATTGAGAGCCGAAGAGGTGGTTGTGGATGTAGGAGAAGGAGTGGAGAGGGACGCAGTGTTGAGAGACGAGAGCGAAGTAGAGGTTGTTAGGATCGTCGAGGATGGCACGTGCGAGTAACCGTCTTTCCGCGGAGATTAATGAAGGTGAGGCACGTGCGGTTTTTTTCGACGGGATTAATTTAAATGTTGATGAGGAGGGGAGGGATATGGTGAAGGATGGATCTGAGTGGATGTAAGCGTTGTAGCGATCTTCGTGTCCTTGGAAGAAGCGTTCCCAGAGAGGGAGGAAGGTGAGATCGGAGTTTGTCAAGAAGAGGAACGCGATTTTCGGAGGAGTGTGTGGGAGGGAGATGAGACGGCGGGAGGAGGAGGAGGAGGAGGCGCGGTGGAAGAGGGAGAGGTCGTCGAGTTCATCGGCGGGGGAGAGGATGTTGTTGTTGTTGTTGTGGTGGTGGGAGGAAGAGAGGAAGAGGAGGAAGGAGATGAGTGAGAGGGAGAGGAAGAGGGAGAGAGAATAGAGGAGAGTGGAGGAAGAGAACATCTCTCTGGAACAAAAACACAATTAGAAATTTTCTTGAGGAAGAAGATGATTGAATGAAGAAGATGATTGGTTTTTTTAAAAATAAAAAGGGGAAATGTGACGTCAGCAAATGGGGACACGTGGATGTTTTAAAGTATTTGGCGGATTATTATGCTAATCTTGTTGTTGCGTGGGGTTTGTTTAAATATTTATAAACTGAGAGATGATACGGTTTTTTCAGCAACCTGATTTTTTAAACATATCTCGATTAGTTATTTGATTTGATTCTAATTATAGGGATGGAGACATGTACACATGTTGGAAGAAGCTTCTTTCGAGAAGCTTTTGACTTTTTTTGCTATATTTTGTTATCCACTTGATTCATTATTGATCTCACAAGTCACTCACCATAATATGTGGTGATTGTGTGTGTGGATTTGAGAAAAATGAGTTGGATAGATTCTAGACTCACATGATGTGACTCTCTCTAGGCCTCTGCCAAAATTGCCGACCTCCAATTTGCATAACCGAACCAATTTTTTTGGATTTTGATTCATGTTTGGTCAGAAGTTTTAGATCCATCTATACAATTTGTTTTTTTTTAAAAAAAAATCCATCATCGATATAGGCAGTTTTTCATCAAGTGTTTTAACCAAATTCTACCAATTTATACTAAAACTAAATCAACATTTTTTAATCAAAATTACGTAATCAAGTCTAATTAAACGAAAATCTATCTGAATACCTGAATTTGGATTCAATTCAATAATAATTTGAGAAGCAAACTAACCGAAAACCAACAAATATTTTGTCAGTTCAACCTGCCAAAATTTTGTGTAATCAAACTAATTTAAAACTAAATTAACCAAACTAACCTTTCACGTGTGTGTTGTTAGATTACGTCTATCCACACCTTGTTTATGTTCAATCATTTTTGTTCTCATCCTACCAAAGATTCAGATATTTTTCTTTGCTCACTCTTTTCTTCCCAAAAGAAAAGCTTTCGTCAGTTATTATTTTATTCATCTTCTCATGGCGGCTCTCACCACCTTCTACCACCCACTCTGCCCAGACAACCACCGCACAACAAGACAAACCCCAAGCAGACACAGCGTCAGATCTCTGACCGTGATGTCTTGTCGGAATCAAAAATCACCAGAAGAGAGCCAAGGATTGATCCAGAGAACAATTTCAAAATTGGTCTCAGAGGCTAAGCATATTGGAAAGAATATGAAGCCAGAGAAGAAAGGAGACATGAAGGATCTGATGCTTATGAGTCTTTCTTTTGCAGTTTATGTTTATATCTCTCAACTAATGGTCTGTGCTTACTTCGCCTGGACCCATGTAACCCTCCCCAATCCCTCATGGTAGTTTTAGCTAAAGACTTTCGCTTATTGTAAATCCACCAAATGATAAATAAGATCAAGAAGCTCCATGTCTCTCAAATTCATTTGCAACATAATAGAAGAATGAAGAGTTTACCTTTTATAGTTGAATTTGTTTAAGCTTTCATTACAATATTAATCTGCTTTAACTCTGTGACGTCCGAAGATCCTACTGAAGAGTGATACCAACCATTGCCATAGCATTATCAACCAGTTACCGCTCTTTCCTTTAGCACCACTTTCTTCTCTCCCTACAAACATTCCTTTGTACATCTCTTTTTGCTTTTGGTACACAGCTTTCTCTTGTTCTGCAATTCCTCGTAGCTCTCTTCTGATTGCATTGTCATCAGGAGCATACTTTTGAGCTTTTCGAAAATCTTCACGGGCTGAATCCATCTGTCCAAGCTCTGCCTTGGCCTTCCCTCTTCTGAACAGCGCTTTTGGGTTCTTCTCTTCTTCTGTCAGCACCTGACAAGTTTAACATCTCGAATTAGAGAAAAAGAATAATGATATGTTCTTCCAGTAAATGATTTGATGGGTCTTACAATGTTGCAGTGACCAATTGCTTCGTCATATCGTTTAAGCTTGATCAAGCAAGCTGCCATGTTTAGGTGGCATGGGTTCTTAACTGCTAAAGCCATATCCTGGTACTTCCCATACAGCTGAAACATAAAATCGTCCCCCATGTATGCAATGGCCTGAGACACCAAAACCATAATCAAAATCCAAAAGGAGCAACGAGAGTTTTGACAAAGACTAGCTCAGTGTACTTGAAAGAAAGAGAGAAAAGATATATAACCATTTCATACTGTTGCATGGCCTCCTCCAGTTTATCCTCTTTAAACAGATTATTCCCATCCATTTTCCTTCTGTCTGCTGCACCAATCCTTTCCTCCACAGTCATATCACTGCGAGCCTTTCCCTGTACGATCCATCGTCTTAAGCGTTAGCTGTAAGAAGGGAGCTTGGGATAAAACTTGGTTGTGTAAGAAAACAAGAAACTACTCATGATATTAAAGATAAGAACTTGCCTCCTTTGTTTCATCAAATCCAATGACTTCAACCTCATATAACAAGTCGGCCATAGGAGGAACATTCGGAAAAGAAAAGTTCCCGTCTTTCCCATATCCCAGTTCCCAGCCTATATGCAAGAGCGCACGTTCACCAGACTTCATGCTAGAAACGCCGATGGCCAAACCGGCCATTTCTTTTTTCTCTGTCTCACAGGCAACATTTCACTTCTTAGTGCACAGCCTCCCAAATATTCTTTTCATTAAATTCCCACGAAACTCAAGCTGCTCAGATGTAGAGTACATAATGGATAGCCACATACCTTTTCCTAGAACCAATTCAATAGGTTGCTGCTCTTGCCATGTATCCTCAAATTTGTGCTGCGTGTGTTTGGTCCATGCCCTATAGTGCACTATGACCCAAAGATGAAATTGGTCAGATAGGTAGAAACACTCGAACAAATGGATAACATTGTAGAAGATTTACTCAAGGAAACGTTGGATTAACTGTTCCTCAACACCCAAAGGAAACATTTCTAAGTACTTTATTTTTATCAAAAACCGCCAGTTAACAAAATTTATACCACATTTCAACCCTCTTCTACGTGACCACAATAATTCCAATTCCATGTGGATGATAAGTTGATAACTAACAAAATTTCTGAACTCAGTCAAGAGAGTCCACCACAAAGGGAAGATAAACCAAGAAGATTAAGTGCAGCAAATCAATAAACCCAAAAGTGTAGAAAGGGAAAGCTAAGGGTACTCACAGAAACATGTGGAGTACTTGGATGGTTTGGAACCGTGACCTTCCTTTATGATCTGCTTACTCACTTTGTCATCCAGGACTTCCGCTTCACTATCAACTTTGGGAGGAACACTACCGTCTTGAGAAGGCTCGCCATGCACAACCGCGCTACCTTCAGTAACTATTTCGTTCTCTTGGTCTGAAACCAAATGTGAAGTAGGAACATATAGTAGTCATTATCAATTCTTAACAAACAAATCAAATTTTTTTGATATTATTTTGATCCAGCAGATCACAAACCACAATATGCCGTCGAATAAATCAGTGAAATTTATTGCATATGTTAGCTTAACACAATCGTCTTAACAAAACCGTTCCACCACTCTAAACAAAACGTCTAGTTGAATATATGGACAAAAAGAAGTGGTATATATATTCAAAGAATGAATAAATACAATGGCACCAGAAAGTAGAGATAGTTTTATTTACCAAGAGTTTCCAGAGGAGATTCATCCATTATTGCCAAATTAAGTTTCGATCCTGCAGTACATTCAGATGGGAAAAGTGTTACAATGGTGGCAAGTCATCAAGAGTTAAACATGTAAGTGTTAAACTGATTATACAATAAGCCTTCTAACTAAAATACTTAACGGTTCCATAGATATTACTCGGAATTGTAGTCGAGATAGATGAAATGGTATTTGACTTGGAACAGAAACTTTTCAGCATCGAAACAAGAACATGTTCGAAATCATCTCAAGTCAAAACAGAGCAATATAGTTTGAGGAGAAGAAAGTGAACATACAGAGTAAGGAGTATCTGAAGCGGACAGAGAAGTGTGATTCGTCCTCGTCGTAGTTGCTCACTTGAGAAGACTTGATCGAGAGATCTTTGAGGAGACGGATCGATGGTTTTCTAATTTTTTGCTTGAGAAATATATCAATAAAGACCTTCAAGTTTTCACTTTAGTCAAATTAAACCCTTTTAGAAAGAAAATCATGTATTTGACCTTTAACGTTGGACCTTTGTCCAAACAAACCCTTCTAGAAAGAATGTATTATGGTCGATTCGTTATCCCATTTGAATTTAAATGATCATCTTCTTCGTCATTGTCCTCACAGTGGGTCTACTCACCATTCGAGGTCATCATCATGTACATTATTAAACCCGCCAGAAAGCGAGTGCATGTGCACTTCACAGCGCTCGATCCAACAACTGAGCTTTCGAGTCTTGATTGGTATACATAGTCCCCCATAACATTAGTTCCAGGCTCAACCTTATGGAGACCTGCCATGGAGGACGTGAGCCAGTGTGGGTCCATATTCTTCGCTTGATATGGTGGAGCAGAAATGAGACTGTCGCCACACTGATAAAGGGGTGGAGGAGCAGGTCAGAGTCATGATTCAGTGACGATAACAGACGGGTCGTTGAGGGCAAACAGAAGAGGCTTGGAGAGCTAAATCGCCCATGGACATTGCCATCGTATTCATAGGTGGCAGGGACTACGGAGAGGCACTAGCCTTTGCTGCACACGTGGCTCGACACCATGCTGTGAAGTTAAACGGTGATAGGTTTCTTTGGAGACAAAGAGCTCTCAGAACACACAAAAACGCAGCAGCATCTTGAACAGAACGAGCGTGATCTTGTGACGAGTGTTTAGTTGAGTTCTACAAACGATATGTAGCTGTAGGAGGAAGAGTGTTTTATCTTACATGGAGAAGCGTCTCACAAACTCTACAGAGACATTCACAGCACCTAAATCACTGGATGGAGGGTTTGGGCTGGTGATGGTTGGAAGAGGAGGAGGAAGGGATAGTAGCGGGCTAACCTCTGATCTCAACGACTGACAGCAATGTCCAGAGCTCGGTCCCATAAGTGATGTTCTGTCTTGCTCAGATTTTTCCAACCACACAATCGATGTAGATCATTCAGCAGCAGCGTACAAAAGTTTAGCTAGAAGGGCTTCAATGAAGAATAACTAACTTGGAAGAGAGTAGTATCATCAAGGTGACCACAATTTAAAACACTCTGTACTATAATTGAAACACTAAAAGGCTTTTGCAGATAAAATAGTAAAGAGAAAGGTTAAATCCAAGCACTACTTGCAAGCTGCCGCAAAATGGTACCCAGAACATAGAGCTGAAACAAAATTACAAGAAAACTAAGCTCATTACAAGTCTTCTGGTTGGTGCTTAGATAACGAAAACTCTGAACTCCTCTTAGTACGGATTCGAGAACCTGGCAACCTCTGCCTGAACACACACAAAAGACAAAAGCGTAAGGCAACGAGTAGGAACAGAGAAACATATAATCCTACTTTCTCACTACCAAGTGGGTCTCATCTAATAAAAAAAAATTGAACAGGACTCTAGACACTTGTGTTGGTACCTCAAATTGGCTCTTGAGAAAGTCAAGCTCCTTGTCCAAGTCATTGATAGCCTGATTGTATGCTTGCATAGGAGAAGACTGGCTTGTGGTATGAATCTGCAAACAAAATCCAATTTCTACACTTAGACCAAACAGAATCAATAATATTTATATCAGATTTTAATCAACTATTAAAACACTAAACCCTAACACAAATGACATTCAACTTACCCTGACTATGATTTTGTACTTGAGAGGATGAGGCAATTGGTATCCAGCAAACAACACATTCTCGTCGCGGTGAAGTTGCCTAATAAAATCCCCCCAAGAAACATTAGAGATTTCTTCTGTTAAAAAAAAAGAATTAAGTAAACGAGAGAGAAGGAATGGTACATGCGGACGATGTTTCCGATGGTATGGTCTTCTCTCTCAATCGTGAAGGAAGCAGCGTTAATGATCTTCGTGTCCCTCTCATACGAAACCCTAGATTAACATCGACAGAGGGTTTTAGCATATGAATTACACAAAAAAAAAATGAAGATTAAGAGTAAGATTTGGAGTGCTATACTTTTTGGTGCCTTCAGGGACGACGAATCGTTCGTATCGGTCCGGAGCATTCATGGCTAATCGGAGATTCTCGCCGCAGAGACAGTCGCAGCTTCTTCACTTCTGACGAACGAATTAACCAAAGAATAACACGACGACGTCGTTTCATATCTATATAATGCATATCCACGTGTTATCTTCTGATTCGTTTAAAGGCTTTGGCTCGGATAGGGTTGATAACTCTTAAAATATTTCCTTATAGATCCTTGGGTTTTAGCCTTATTTACACAAAAAATCTGGTGTGGTTTTTAATTGGGGGATAAAGACCTAAAACAAAAAAAACCCAAATAATAACAGAAGGGGGAAAAAAAAAAGAAAAAGAAAAGAGAGAGAGAGAGACTATCAGATCCCTAAAAATCGAACCCGGACGCATAAACCGACTATGGCCTTTCACGTAGCTTGTCCAATTACATGGTACCTCTCTTTAACTCTTTATTTTTGTTTTTGTTTTAGCGCCTCGCGAGAGAGGGTCGTCGTCTTCTTAAACCTAACGGCTTCGTTTGTTGTTTAACTTATAATCGAATTGGTTCCCTCTTTCTCTCTTTCCTTCGCAGCCGTAAAATTTGCGACTGCTTATTGGGGTTCCCTCGGAACCTTCATAGCAAGGAATCCAAAGATGTATTCCTCAACGATGTCAATTCTCTCGGAGACCTCTTGCGAGACCCGTGGGATGCTCGAGTCTCAAAAGAAGGTACCGTTCAGATCCAAGTGCCTAAGCTCGCTCTCTCCGATACTGGTCATCCTCAGATTGCGGCTAGAGATGTTGGTGTGGATGATTCTTCAATGGAGGTTGCTGCCTCGAGGCAAGGCAGACACACGGTTGTGCTGAAGAAGGCAGTTGAGAATCTCGCTGCACGTTCTGCCTCTGACGAATTTGAGGTGCGATTCGTGCTTCTTCTCCGATACTTATTTGTTTGTGTGTAGTCTCAATTTGAATAGAACTCCTTTTGATCTGTTGGAAGATAATAATGTGCACTCTCTTCAAGAAGCTATTGTTTTCAAGTACTAAGTTTTAACCCCTAAGCTTGTTTTGTTTTTTCTTTATGCAGGTTGCTGTCAATGAGCTCTATGAAGGAGATGATGACACTGACAGTGCAAGTGTTACGTGTCCCATGTGCTATGCGGTTGAAGTTGGGAAGAGTGAGAGAGCCAAGATGCTTTCTTGCAAGTGCTGCGGCAAGAAGTATCATAGAAACTGCTTGAAGTCTTGGGCTCAACACAGAGGTACTGTTTTATGGGAATAATTATGCTTACAGTTGTCCTGTTTATATTCTTATAGCGATTTTTTTTTGCTTGTAGATTTGTTTAACTGGAGCTCGTGGGCTTGCCCCTCTTGCCGGACTTGTGAGGTTAGTTTGGATACAACTTTCTCAATGACTAATTAAGTTTCCTCAGAACGCATCCGATGACTGATATATCTTAAAATGGTGTCAGGATTTGAACATGTTTAATTAGATAGGTGAACTGCCTCTGGCCAGAATTCATAAGTTATTTAACTTGTATTGTTTATGTTTCCTTTAGGCATGTGGAACTTCAGGGGATCCAAAGAAGTTGATGTTCTGCAAAAGATGTGATGATGCCTATCATTGTGATTGCCAACAGCCTCGACACAAGGTATAGTATTTGTTGCTTTTATGCAAAGATCTTGTCTTGTCTTTTGCTAATTGAGTTAATTTTATCCCTGGATGTTACAGACTGTTAGTTCTGGACCCTATCTGTGTCCTAAACACACCAAATGTTACAGCTGTGGGTCTAAAGTCCCCGGGAATGGCCAGAGCTTACGGTATTCTAGTCTTTTGCTTTGTGATGTATACTTGTATTTGTTCATTCAAAATGTACTAGATCTCTTATCAATCCTTTTGAGATTGCAGGTGGTTTTTGGGGCATACTTGTTGTGATGCTTGTGGAAGGCTGTTTGTCAAGGGAAATTACTGTCCTGTATGTTTGAAGGTATCTTCTTACACTCTCTACGTTGTTGATACTTGGTAGTATAGACTATAGAGTATGTGCTCGGTTTACCTGCGTCATATGTGGTTATCACATTGTTTTGCTTTCATCACGTAGGTTTACAGGGACTCGGAAGCAACACCAATGGTGTGTTGTGACTATTGCCAGCGCTGGGTCCATTGCTTGTGTGATGGAATCAGGTCCATATCCTTAAATCTATTTCATATAACCAATTGCACGTCTGTCCTGTAAGAAATGTTTACCATGTCTGTAGTCAACTAACATTAACTTTGCAAACAAATGTTGCAGCGATGAGAAATATATGCAGTTTCAAGTGGATGGGAATCTTCAATACAAGTGTTCTACTTGTCGTGGAGAAAGCTACCAGGTGTGTTTCATGTGTCGTCAATTTTTTATATGTGTTTGTTCTCTTATATCTCTCGATGTCTGAATGACAATTTAGTGATTCCATATTTTCTCACTGATTTGTGTTTATGACGCTAGGTCAAGGATCTTGAGGATGCTGTACAGGAAATTTGGAAACGAAAAGATATCGAGGATAAAGAGCTAATTGCTAGCCTGAGAGCTAGTGCACGAGTCGTAGGGCAAACTGGTGGTGCCTCTGTTATCAATCAGCCTGGCTCTTTCGAAAGAAAAGTTTCTAAAAAAGTTATGGTCAGTGGTGAAGAAGAGAAGCCACTGAGAGTTCTTAGGATAAAAAGTAGCAGGCCTCAAGATTCAGACAGTGAGAAACACGGAAAACACTCTGCAGAGCAGAGCCCTGTGAAGGCAAAAAAATTGGTAATAAGTATAGGCAGAAAGGCACGGGTTACAAACCCGATGAGTTGCGATAAATCAAAGCTTGCCCCCAAATCCAACGGTATGTGTATAGACTCAGGTTTTGTTCCGTTTGATTTCTAGTTGAGAAAGTATAAGTAGCTGCAACATAATAATCTTGAGTGATTATACACTATACGATTTATTTTAAAGACTTTACTAGAAATGTGTGTTCTTTTCTTTAGTTGGTATACGACAAAGATAAAATAATTAAAGGAGCTCTGGTAATTTCAGGAAAGCATGTGAAATTACAATCAGAAGAAACGGCTTCCCAAGAAGAGCAGCAACAGAGCTTATTGAGAAAGAGTAGTGAAGAAAAGAGAGGGTCTCAAGGTGAGGTAGGCACTTCAAAGGGGGAAGGCGGAGGAGACTCAAATGGTGGCCAACAAGAGTTGCAGAAAGATTCAAGAAGATTGCTGAAACTGAAAATAAAAACACATAATCCGGAGAGCCAAGAAAGAGAAGCCCCTAGAATCGTGTATGAAAGAAGCAAGTCTGGGAAAGGACATAGGTCCAAGAGAAAGAGAGCATCACCTCCAGCAGAAAAATCAGCTTTCAACGAAGACGAAGATGTGTCACTGTCACGTGAAGATAATTTGTTAGACGAGATGCTTGATGCTAGTTGGATACTGAAGAAGTTGGGGAAGGATGCAAAAGGAAAAAAAGTTCAAATACACGAGGCCTCAGATAATACATGGTACGTGATTTTAACTTTTCATATATTCTAAGTTGTTGTAACAATTGAGTATTAATAAAAATAAAAACAGGGAGAAAGGAGTGGTAAGTGAAGTAGGAGGAGATGGCACATCGAAGTTGATGGTGACGCTTGAGAATGGAAAAGTGAAGACGGTGGAACTAGGAAAGCAAGGGGTTAGATTTGTTGCTCAGAAGCAAAAGAGGACGAGGACGTGAGACGGTGAAGCTTCGAGCATCATCCAACATTTGGAACAACATGATTATTGATTAGTGAAAGACCTTGCAGGAGGAGTTGGTAGGTGAAGCAGAACTAGCTTCTTCTTTATCATCTATACTTCTAGATGTTGTATGTACAATATATATATACATTCTGAAACAAATTTAGCTTAAAATTTTAAGAAAGGGTTAGCAGCTGAGTGAAATAAGAGATTTTGAGAATTTCAAAAGAGAAATAGGTTATTTTTTTGGTTATTTGAATAATTTCCTTGTTAAAAATACAAAAGATCTGAAGAATATTTGAATTTATAAAAACTCACAACTACTTTGGAAAGCTATCCCGTTGCAACTTTGGTATGGGGACTGTATGAGTGAAAGTGCGGGAGGTAGTGGAACACAGAAGATGTATTTGGACATTGCCAAGTGTAACAGTAACAGACATAGTACTAGGAGGAGGACCCCGTCACGGATAAGAAACTATGTTTTCGAAATGACATGATATAATAATAAAAATAATCAATTAACTCGCAATTATTAAACTGTCGGTCAACTACAACAAAGGAGTAGCTACTAGAAATGACATGAACCATAAGATAATAACAACATAAAAGTTGAGTAATATTCTTGTCTTAATTTCTAATCAACTATCTCTTACTTATGTTATTCCATCTTTGTCTGGTATTAGCCAGGTTGCGATCAGCGTTTCCCTGAAACCAAAAAGAAGAAAGAGAAATGTTACAGCTGTTATTCACGATAGCGTTCTCGGCGGCGCCTTTAACGCTGTACATACCGCCGATCAGGTGTTTGACGGCGTTTGCTCAGACGATGGAGGAGATGGAAATTGAAGGTAGGGCTTATAGAGGGAGAGTCTTGGCTCGAGCCAGACTTGCTTGGTCTAGGCTTCTCGATTGCTTCTTCTCTTCTTCTCCTCGTCGTCCTTAAATTTAATTGTTCTTCTTCTGTCTCTTTCTCTCTGTACATATAAGTGTCGTGTTTCCTTACTTGTGTGTTTGATCACGTATATGTTTTTCAATTTGGGGTAATTCAAGAGAAATCAAGATTATGATAGAGACTTTGGTTTTTGATTTTGTTCTTGATCTTAATAATAATCAGAGATATCAAGATGATGATAGAGACTTTGGTTTTCAATACTCCTCTTTTTGTTCTCTTGCAACCTCTATTTATTTAAACAAATTTTATTTTATTGTATGTAAGGTGAGATTGATGATACAAATTGCTCAGAACATTACATGTTCTTGAATCTGAGCATGATCATCTGAAATGAACTTAAACAAAAAAAAAAAAAGAATGAATCAAATATAGAAAGAAACTTGGTAAAGAAAAAAAGTATTTTAGTTGGCCATTGAGCAAGGCTTTAAGAACCAGAGAACGTCCAAAGCCCTCCCTTCTTTGTTGTTGTTACTGTCTCTGCTCTGCTCTTCTTCCTCCTTTCTCTTCACCACTTCTTCAACCACTCCCTTTTCCTGTGTAAACAATCCATTGCCTCGTTATGTGTCTGTTTCTAGCAGGAAAATGAAGAGGAGTTTGAGATTTTACATACCGTAGGTTTGGTACTCAAGGCCTTCAAAGAAGCTGTCCGGTTCTCTGAGAAGCACTGAGGAGATGGTGGGTTTGTTCTTATCTGCTGCAGTAACCGCTCGTGCCCTTTGTTCTTTACATTCCCAAGTTTCAGAGGCGTAAGGATATTCTCTGCATCATCCACTCTCCTGAACAAATCGTCACAGAATAATCCAAGTTTAGTACTAAAACTCATACAAAGCCTTATGAAGAAAGTAGCAAAACTTACTTAATTCTTCTACACTCCTCTCCTTTCATCTTTACTACATTCTCCACATTAACAGAGACAGGAATATTCTCCGTATCATCCATTCTCCTGCAACAACTCCAAAGTTAGTAACACAATATAAACTAAAATTTCCCAAAAGAAGCAACAAAACACTTACTTCTTCCTTCTACGGTTCTCCTTAAACGCATTTCCTTTAACATCAGTGGACTCATAAACCTTCTCTTTGCTCACTTCCAGCAACGGCTTTCTTTCCTTCTTCAACTCCAACTCATGAACAGAGTAAGGCTGATTCACTTCAACCTTCCCAGTAGTATCTTCTCTCTCAGTAACCCTTGTAGCCAATCTCTTCAACTCATAGCAGAACTCTGAGATGTGTCCAAACAAATCTCTCCCTGAGAACAGATTCCTAGCTGATTGTGTGCTCTTTAGCTTCGGTGTCTCCTTACTCATCTTCTTGGCGGAAGATGACTTGAGTGCTGCTCGCCATGATCTTGGAGGCGTGGTTGAGTTTGGATTCTTGTTTTCACTGTCTTCATGTCCCTTCCTCCTACAAAAGTCAATGGAATAATGTGAGATTAGAGTATGAAAAGGCCCAAAGATGGAGAGTTTCGAGAAGCAATACCTTTGATTCTTCTCTGTGCTAGATCCTGGTGTCTGATTCGTATGCTTCAAGACAGAGACACGAAAATGAGAAAACTTGGGAGAAGGGTTTTTGTGAGGAAAACAAGAAAATCAAGAAGAAGCAAAAAACCTTGGAAGAAGTTGGGGTTTGGAAGAAATCTTCAGGTCTCTTGGGATGATTACAATCTTGAAACGAAGACAAGATCAGTAACAAGAAACCAAGAAACAGAGAGGAGATACAGAGAGAGAGGGATTGGTACCAGGTTTGCAGAACCAAGCGTCATCGTCTACGGAGTCTTGTAAGTGGTTAGGGGCCAAGAAGTCGAAATATTTGGGAGCTCGGAGGTGTTCGTAGAAGACGTCTTCCACAAAGCGTGAATCGATTCGCTTCCAGTCGATCTGAGCAGGCTCCATTAGCGAGAGAGAATACTCAGAGATTGAGAGAGAGACAGTAAACGAGTCTGTGTGTTTGTTTGTTGGTTGGAGAGAAAAAGGAGAGGAGAAGAAGAATATGTAATTATGTAACCGTTGAAGAGTTAACGTTACAGAGCCAGATAAGCGGCTCCCTGTGCACGTGGCTTTCTCTTTGTTACCGTTGCAGCTTTATTTATTTTGTTACATCTCTCTCTCTCTCTACATTCTTTTATCATTAAATCTATGGGCCGATGGGCCCATTAGTTTTAAACTGGCCCATTGTGGGAGAAACGGGCCACACTGAGCCGAATTTAAGTAGAGAGAAAGCCCTAATTTTAGATTTCTTAAGAATCGATAGGAGATGAAACTTTTGGGATCTTACTGTAATTATAAGAAACCTTAGGTATCCAATTGAAAAACGAACAAATAAAGGTCTCATATATAATATATATATCTTTCAGACCAAACCAATCGCAAGACAAAATCGAGTTTCTGATTCCGACGACCTTTGACCGTAAAATCGTCGCAGGTGAAGAGATCGCTGTTTTACGTTTCTTATCGATTTTTCTTTCTCTGAATCTATTGTATAAGGATCTGTGTCGATTGATTTCTGTTACCTAGGGTTTCCTGCAATTATTGAGCTCTCTAGATTGTTTGTTTGTTACGTTTCATCTTGATTTCTTAGGCTTTTGAAAGATATGATTTTGCTAAATTCGATTTAATCCATGATGAGAAATCAACTTCAATTGAATCCTATCAGAAGAATACGTCTTCTCTGTTATTTTCCTTGTTTCACAATTTGTTTTTAAGGATTTTAATTAAGCTTGAATTTGTCTTCTAAATCGTTTGAGAGCTTATTTGTCGAGCAGTGAGATCTTCTAAACCGTTTGCAATGGATAAAGGAGCACCACCACCACCTCCGAGCATCTTTGTGAATGATGGGTCCTTCATGGAAAGATTCAGACAGCTTCAACAGGAGAAAGATGAAGCCAAGGATAAGGTTCTTCCCCATGTTGTAGAGGAGTCCAAGCCTGTGAAGGTTATATCTGGGATTTCTAATCCTAGGCCTTCTTCTGCTACTAAAGTCTCCATTGGGTTTAAGACCAATGATGCCGCACAGAAGAAAGGTGGTAAGCTTGCTTTCAGCTTGAAGCAAAAGTCTAAGCTTCTCGCCCCTCCTGTAAAGCTTGGTGAAGAAGAGGATGATGATGAGGATGAGGGGGATGCGAGAAGTGATCAAAGGTTTGGATCTGCTAAGCGTCCAAAGTTAGAGCAGGGAAGAGACACACCTGCCAAGTCAGCCAAACTGTTAGATGTTGGTAATGGCTGTTTATATAGTCCTAAATATATGTCGTTAACCAACAATCCAGTTTCTGGAAAGATTTGGAATTATCTGCCACGCCTGCTACAAGAGTGATTTGCATTCCTTGTTCATGGACTCGGTATTAACCAGTTTTATAAGTGATGTGCAGCACCTCCTGCGCCCAGTGACCCTACTGTGAAGAATGCTGCTGATAAACTAGCAAGCTTCGTTGCTAAGAATGGAAGGGCATTTGAGGATGTTACACGCCAAAAGAATCCTGGGGATACACTATTTAAGTATGTTAATTCATTGCTTTTGGAGCATCTGTAGTTTAACGTTTCTTGATTTTCTCTCTTATGCACGTACTAAGTTGGTACTTGGGTTTGTTGACCTTATGCATCCTGTGTCCTATTTTCCCAACCAGGTTTCTTTTTGATGAGAGCTGTGCGGACTACAAGTACTATGCATTCAGGCTGTCTGAAGAGGAAAAATCTATTTCACAAGCCAAGGAATCTGGTGTACATCACAGTGGTAATTATTTCAAAACGCCTTTGTGTTTATATAGACCAAAAGTCATGCAACTGTTTTTTATGTTACAAATTTATTTCAGAATATGTTTAGCTAAGCATGTGCAAGGAATATATGCCCCCATCACTTGTATTTTTTCAGACAATATCTAGAGTATTGTATAATAATAACTTATATATGATCTGTAGTATGTTGTATAATGTGAGGCAGCTTGTTCGGCTAACACATCTTGATATATTTTTAACGCTCGATTCCTTGTTATTATCTTTCCGGTGATGCAGGCCCGCGGTTGTCCACAACACCAATCACTTCCCAGAAGTCAGCTCAGCAACAAAGAGGCTATCAGATCCCGGCTTCGGCTCTCTTTGATGCTCCTGAGGAACATGGAGCTTCCTCTAGATCTGCTCAGGCATCAGTTACAAGACATAACAACAGTATGTCGGTTAGCCTTTTGTCTGCCTAGGTTCCCTCTCTTGTTAATCACATCTAGCTTTGACTATGGGTTACATTTGTGTACGTTGCAGGCGACTCTTTTAATGCGCCTAGGGCTGCAGACCCTATTTCAATGATGGAGTTTTACATGAAGAAGGCTGCCCAAGAAGAGAAGATGAGACGTCCTAGGCAGTCAAAAGATGAAATGCCCCCACCAGCTTCTCTTCAAGGCTCATCTGGTGAGAATGAATCCTGTTTATGTTTCGTGTTTGATACAGCTCTGATGTCTTATCGCTCAACCATGTTCAGCAACTCCTTTCGCAGACTCAGGAAAGAGAGGCCATCACATGGGTGATTATATCCCACCGGAGGAGCTAGATAAATTCCTTGCAAAGTGTGACGATGTAGCTGCTGTAAAAGCCACAAAGGAGGCAGCTGAGAAGGCTAAGATCCAAGCAGATAACGTCGGACATAAGCTCTTATCAAAAATGGGTTGGAAAGAAGGTGCTTACTTGCCTCGCTCTATCTGTAAACTTGTGACCTAGTTTCTTTCTGTATCTTGTTCCTTTATGGAGACAAGGAGGTTAAAAAAGTTGGAGGAGTTGGGTTACAGGTGAAGGTATAGGAAGCTCTAGAAAGGGTATGGCAGACCCTATAATGGCAGGAGATGTAAAGACTAACAACTTGGGAGTTGGGGCTTCCGCTCCAGGAGAAGTTAACCCCGAGGATGATATATACGAGCAGTACAAGAAGCGAATGATGTTGGGATACAAACACAGACCCAATCCACTGGTACTTTTGCCTATCTTTTAGCTCCATTCTTTTTCTGTATAGCACTTCTCTACTCATCTGTTGTCCCTCTTGTTCTGCAGGGAAATCCCAGGAAAGCTTATTATTAAGAACCATTCAATGTGCTGCAGACAATCATGACTCACCCACCAAGCCCCAGATGATCTTTTACTTTTTTATTAAAATATAATGTCCCAAGTTCTTATATTACTCTGATGAATTGAAGTGTTTGTTTGGATTGGATTTGTTTGCAAATAGATCTCTATCTGTTGAGATTGGAATTGACTGAGAGATTTCGATTCTTATATCTTCATTAATGTTTTTAAAGTCTAGGACAATAAATTCTAAACAGCGTAGTGAAAGGTAAATGAGAAAGAGAAAGAAAGAGAAGATGATAGGTTGGTTCTAGACTCCTAGTTAATGATATCGCAAGGAGGGAAATTAGCAGAACATCGCTGAGGAAGCTGAAGAGCCATGGAGCGGTCAATCCCTGAGAGTGGAGGTCCATTGGCGAGGAGGCAAAGGCAAGGGCGACCAAGTGTGACAACGGCAGAGCAACATGACTCGGTCGGTGGGATTGGACTGAAAGGAGCCACTGCTGCTCTACAAGGTATTAGCTGAACCAGTGCTGAGAAGAATGTCCTGCTGCATCCTCCCACTTCTTCCTCGGGTAACATTGGTGGAGGTGGTGGTTGCTGGTCCTCGGGTAACAGCTGTGCAGTGACTATCGTAAGAACCGTTGTGGTCATGAGCAGCGTCATAGCTAACCCAACAACTCTCATGGCTTTCATCATCATGTAAATAATAATAAGATGATGGATGATGCAACGAGATGATGATGCTTCTTTATACTATGAGGAAGGGGTGTCATGTCATGCTGTGTAACACCTCTCTCCTACCTCGCAACCCAAATAGCCTCACGGTTACGACGTGTGTTTCTCACTCTAGAGTTTTAATCTTCGGTCAAGCTTTACAACACTCCATTTACCAACGTTTCGTTGGTGGTGTTGGTATAAAACGTGAAGAGTTTTTAACTATGACGGTATAGAAAACTACAAAAGTACAAGTTAACCCATTATAGGTGTCGGGTCATTGGTCGTGCGGTATACGGTTCATAAAGAAAATTCAAATAAATTTTTGTGGTTAATGGTTATATAATAGAGACCCTATACTACAGCATGTTTTTTGTTGTTTTCTTTTTATCTTTTTTAACAAAAATGATGTTTGCAGACCCGATTCTGAGATTTTAAAAGCATTTTTAAACTAAGGTTTTAGGAACAAGTTTTTAAAGAAATTTTTTTGTTTAAAAAAGAAAAAAAATACTGAACCAATCGTATGCTACCATGTGTGGATGAGAATCCACAAACAATCTAAATATCAAGTTAAGAGCAGTTCTCGGAGGAGAGGAGAAAGAGCTAGTTTTTGCCAAAGCCGTGAGATCCATTACTTAAGATTCAACCTAAGATTCCTTTTTAATCCTGTTCTAAGAGATTCTAAACGATTTATTAAAAAGTTTATTTAAAATGTTTGTTTTTAGAAATTGAGGAGTATGAAAAAGTTATTTTGAGACTGTCTATATTTATAAATTTGTTTTGAAGATCTATTATATAAATATTTTACTTAACATGGTTCAAAGCTAGTAGGCCTAGTATAGAATTGCGAACACGAATTATATTATTGTGACACAGATTAATGATATACTTATATAAGTATAATGTAGCTACTATGCCTACGTTTTATTAGGGTCTAAAGCATTGATGTACGTGTAAACATGTATGTAACCAAAAGTTCATTAACGTGGAAAGTAGACTTTTATCTGTAAAAAGCCGTACAGACTGTACCAGACACATGACAAAAACCGTAGTTGTACACCAAAAAGGATTAAGACTAATCATTACCACATACTTAAGTGCGGTGGCCCACCACAACCCAAGAAAACTGAAAAATCGAAACCGCATCGGTACTAACTGAGTGACCCGGATAAGTGTTTTTTACCACCGGTTCCTCGTACCATCAAATCAAACCCATAGCCTATCTTATCGTCTGTAATTAATAAGGAATCTTAACTAACGTTCTTAACTACAGATGATTAGCAATAAATTACGCAATCATACGAAAAGCCCATAAAAGGCCCAACAAATAATAAAAGCCCAAAGGGTAGTGACTGGTTCCTCTCTCTAGCTGAGTCTCCCTACTCTACTCGAGCTTCTAAATAAAGAGAGTCAGAAACTCTCACCAGCCGCCCTCTTCTATCACTTTCAACCCTCCTTAAACCTCATCTCTCCTCCTCCGTCTCTCTCCGCCGCCGCGCCGTCATCCCATTTCTCTTGTTCCCCTCAAGGTAACTCCTTTAGATCCTTTAATTACCTCCTTTTTATTGCTATATCTCCTTTTGACTTTTTTGCCCCCTTTTATGGATTCTGTTGCTCCTTTTATCTCTGTTTCCTTCAAAATCAATTAGATTCTCTAATTCAATCGTTCTTGCTTCGTTTAATAGGTGAAATGGCTGGGAAGTCGAGCAAATCGAAGGCTAAGAGAGCTGCTGCTAACTCCACTGACTCTCCTCCTCCTCATTCCGATGCTCCTGTTCCTGATAATGGAGCCGTTGATAATGCTGTTGAAGCTACCGTGCCTGAATCCAACGAAGTCCCCCCTCAGGTTCCTAACGCTGACGAAGGCGAATCACAAGAAGTTGCAGCAAGTAACGATGAGGAACCTAAGCAAGGTTTAGCTCTTTTTATGCGTTTTATAAGTAGCATTCGCTTTTATATTATATCTCTAGCTTTTTTTTTTTGATGTGGTTGTCTTTCGTAGGTGAACTTCGTCTTTATCCTGTTTCGGTTAAAACACAGAGTGGTGGTAAAATGGAGTTACAAGTGAGTTCAAAGTTTCTCTTTTTTTTTACCTTACTTACTATTATTGGTATGAGTTACTGAATCTGTCTAATTTCAGTTGAACCCTGGAGACTCTGTGATGGATATAAGGCAGTTCCTTCTTGATGCCCCGGAGACATGTTACTTCACTTGCTATGAGCTGTTGCTCCGGAATAAGGAGAATGAGACTCACCATCTTGAAGATTACAATGAGATCTCTGAGGTTGCTGACATCACGACTGGTGGTTGTTCCTTGGAAATGATTGCTGGTAAGTTGAGACTTTGTATTTTTTTCTTTTCTTAAACTAATAGCTTGACAACTGACTGTGTTTGTTTCGTTCTTTCCACAGCGTTGTACGATGATAGATCCATCAGGGCTCACGTTCACCGAGCTAGAGATCTCCTTTCGCTTTCTACGCTCCACTCGTCCATGTCAACAACGCTTGCCTTGAAGTATGACGCAGCAGTTAACAAAGCTCAGAATCCTGGAGGTTTCTGATTTGAACCTTATTCTTTATAGTGTCTTGATTTAACAGTTTTGCACTCTGAACCGTTCTTTTCTGAATCAGACAAACCAAACGTCCCGGAGCTTGATTGTCTCGGTTTCATGGAAGATGTACCTGCCACGCTCAGGAAGTTGATCAGTTCTCCAACGGAAGAGATCAAATGTGTGGAGAGCATTGTCTTCTCGTCGTTCAACCCTCCTCCAAGCCACAGAAGGTGTTCATCTACTGCTTTTAACATATGTTGATGCTTTAAATCAGCTGCTTTTATGAGAGTGTATCTAATTAATTTGTTTGTGACAGGCTTGTAGGAGACTTAATCTATTTGGATGTTGTGACGCTGGAAGGTAACAAATACTGTATTACGGGCACAACCAAGGCGTTTTACGTTAATTCTAGCGCAGGGAATATTCTCGATCCAAGGCCGAGTAAATCTGGGTTCGAAACAGCTACCCTTATTGGGTTATTGCAAAAACTTAGCTCTAAGTTTAAAAAAGGTGGGAACCAGTATATATGTAATTTTTCCTAGTTTATTTTTTACTCTTTTTGTTACTTGATAGTTATCATTCAATTTGTTAATGATCTACCATTTTTTTTTCTTTTACTTTGACTACAAAGCTTTTCGCGAGGTCATGGAAAAGAAAGCCTCTGCACATCCCTTTGAAAATGTTCAATCACTTTTGCCACCACACTCATGGCTAAGACCGTATCCTGTTCCAGGTGAGTTTGAATTTAAAGGCTGTTTGAGTCCGTATCAACTTTGCACATTCGGAACTTGAATATTACTGTATGCTTTTTCGTGCTGCATAGTAATTTGGTTTAAGTAGTTTTTGAGGCCTGCTGGACTGGTTCTTTTAAAGAACATTTCTCCACATTTTCTATTATAAGCAATGAATATGGTTCTATTATAAGCACACCAACACTGATTAGGATTTAAAAGAAGCTTTTCTTTGATTTAGTCTCCTTATATGTAATAGATCATAGAAGTCTCTTTCTTGTCTGTATCTGTTACTGCATCCTAAGGTCCTGGTTTCATTAAGTTTGTTGTCCAAATTGTTGGTTGTTTATTCTGCGTGCTCATTCACTATTTTATATATAGAATATGCACTTCTGCTCACAATGAGAAGAGAAGTTCCTCTTTTTATTTGAAATTTTGAAACACAACAGACTTTTCTACCCCCATTTTCCCAGAGATACGGTTGAAATAAATTTCGGTAATGTTATAGCTGACGTAAGCTCTTGCATCTGGCTCAGATCACAAGCGCGATGCAGCCAGAGCAGAAGAAGCACTGACCATTTCCTATGGTAGTGAGCTGATTGGTATGCAAAGAGACTGGAACGAAGAGTTACAATCCTGCAGGGAGTTCCCTCACGCTACTCCTCAGGAGAGGTATATGTGATATTTGACTATAGTAATTTTTTTAGTTCCATAAAACTTTTTATTTTGGCAGTCTGTTCCTTTTTAGTTTGCTTCATATTGATAAATTCTTTCGTTGCAGGATCTTACGTGACAGAGCTCTTTACAAAGTTTCTTCTGACTTTGTCGATGCGGCCCTTAACGGAGCAATTGGTGTAATCAGCCGATGTATACCACCCATAAATCCAACTGATCCAGAGTGTCTGCACATGTCAGTGTTCATCTTTTGGCTTTTGTTGTTGATTCTTAACTGTCAACTCATATCTTTTATGGTGTTAGCTCATTGTTGCCATGAAATTTTATCAGCTGAATGATTCTCTTTTTGCTTAAACATGGGAAATGACTGGGAGCTTTTAGGTTTTTACGTTTTGTATTTCGCATCAGTGTCTCAATACTGAACACTTGTTACTGTCCCACTGTTGTAGGTATGTGCACAACAATATCTTTTTCAGTTTTGCTGTTGATGCGGACATTGAACAGCTATCCAAGAAACGTCCATCAAGTAATGTTCCGGTGACTGAGAAAATGTCCTCATCTGATAAGGTTCCATGCAAAGAAGGAACATGCGATGGAGAACACAATGCAGAGCTTAACTGCTGTAATGAGGCGCCTCTTGTAGAGAATGAGCAGGCAACGTACGCTTCTGCAAACAACGACTTGAAAGGCACAAAGTTATATCAAGAAGCAGATGTACCAGGGTTATATAATCTGGCTATGGCCATTATTGATTACAGAGGTCATCGGGTTGTTGCTCAGGTTTGTACTAATACTCTAACTGCCAGGTCCTTTTCTTGATCTTGCTTGTGTGTATTCAAATAGCTTACAATGTTTTTTCATATGTGTTCTAGAGTGTCCTACCAGGCATCCTTCAAGGGGATAAATCAGATGCGCTTTTGTATGGTTCAGTCGATAATGGCAAGAAAATATGCTGGAATAAAGATTTTCATGCTAAGGTAAATATTTTCCTGTTGGATTTTGTAGTCATTAGTGTGATAGTTCTAGTATTGATTTATCTGTGCCATATCGTTGCACATCTTTAATATACGACCACCTTTGTCGTAACATAACTCTTTTCCCTGATTTATTCCTTATTCAGGTGCTTGAGGCTGCAAAACTTCTTCACATAAAGGAACATACTGTTATTGATGCTTCTGAGAATGTTTACGAGCTAGCT